GACTAAACTGGACTATATCACATTGGAGATGGTTCATGTTTTCAGAGATCAGACGTGTGCAGGTTTAGCGCAGCTCTTTATTTCACTCACTTTATTCATGTTGGTGACTTTATTTATTTTGGCTTCTGTTGTGATGAAAAGACTGAAAAGTGTTTGTCTTTTGGACGCATGTGACTCAACTTTATGTTGCAGTAACTGGGATACTACAGAAGCCGAGAGGGGTCACAACAAACGCAAACGCCGCAACAAATACAAAAGCGACAACACAACAAAAAGCCACAACACACCAAAAAAAGCCACAACGGAAATGACTGCGGGACTCTATTTTAATGCAAACACCGCAACAAATACAAACACCACAACACAAACGCAAATGCCGCAACACGTTAAAAAGCCACAACGGAAGTGACCGCGAGACTCTGTTTTCCGACGGACCGATCAAGCGACAAGTGAAGAAGAAGAACTACAACGTGAAATGTAAAGGAACAGAGAAGTTGGAAACGTAAGTAAAAGTAATTTATTGTTTTATCATTATTCGTTTCACATTGCAGTTCTTCTTCTTCACTTGCCGCTTGATCGCGGTCATTCCATTGTGGCTTTTTTTGGTGTGTTGTGGCTTTTTGTTGTGTTGTCGCATTTGTATTTGTTGCGGTGTTTGTGTTTGTTGTGACCCCTCTTGGCTATCGTAGGATACTTCATATACATGCACCATGACGAAACCTCAAAAAACCTGAAACCCGGGACACTGATGTGCTGTAAACACACTCACTGAGTGTCACAGTGTCTCCAAGAAGGAGCCAGAGCCCAAACGTGGGACTGTGAGGCACAACTCCAGTGTTTGTGTCAGACGCAGCCTCGTCTCTTTACACTACACACAGCAACCTGCATTCAGTTTGTCAATTAAAAATGAACGTGATCGACAAAATTGTTAACGATCAATTAGTCGACCAATCATGCCCATCCCTTCACACTACATTACCCAAGATGCATTGCACACACAGGTGCTCTCTGGTGAGGCTGTGCAGGAGGAGCCCGTGGGCAGTGAGTGACAGCGCAACATGCAGTTTAAAAGTGTGCGCAGACCTTGTCACTCCACTCAACAGGTGAAAACTAATTTTGACGTTTAATTGAACCCAACAGTGACGTACGTCGTTCATCTCACAGAATCTGAACAAATTCACGTTCAAGTTCTTGATTTACAAATGTGTTGCGTTCAGTTCAAAGTTCACTGAAAAATGAACATGTTCAATGAACGCATTCTTTTGCACAACACTGTAAGCAGCCATGTTTGTTTTGACACGAATGGACCTCGCCTCTCTCTGATTGGTTAATCCGCCTGTCAATCACTCCCTCTGAAAACACAGAGACAGGACACGGCTCCAGATCCACTCGTCTTTGTAAAGTTTTGTCAAAGTGTGTGGTTCTGGCTGCTCAGGCAAACAAGGATACACGTTTTTCAAAATATTTTCTAGGTATAAAAAACACCTGTAAATGAGTAAATGAAAGACAAATATGTTTAATGCCGTACTGTGGAACATTCCAGAGTCCATATTACACTATTTTCACTATTTTATGATGTTCTAATGTTGTTTCCTCGTCACAAACAGACCTGGAGTTGTGTTTTTTTCATTCAAACATGTTTAACGCACAAACCCTGTGTGTTTCTGTGAGTTCTTCTCTCAATCTCGAAACACTGTTCCACCTTGTGATGTCATGCGGTGATACAGAAAGTTCCCCACTGTGGTTTTAAACTCCACACACCTTCACTAGAATCATTTGGATAATTTCCGCTCTGGAATTGCCAATCTCTACTGAACAAAAGGTAAAATGTAGCTGTTAACTCGAAAACTATGACTTCGTGACATCACAAGGTGGACCAGAGCATTTTCAGCTTTGGAGATTTCGACAGAGTAATAACGCAGAGTTACTCAAACATGTGCGAATGAAACGAAACACAACTTTAGGTATGTTTTTGAGGATTTAGCAGCATTCAAAATCAGATTAAAGCTCACAAGAGTCAGTTTTGCGTAACATTGGACCTTTAAATGCATATCTGATAATAATGTATTTAGTTATTTCTGTCAAAAATCAAACATAACTTTTCCTTCTGGTAATTTTTTTCAGTTTTTTTGTCTGTTAATCAAAATAGTAGTTAAAAAAATATGATTTAAGAGTGACAAGAGTCTAACGTGAGGCATGTTGAAACTCTGTGCGCTCGGCCCTTACGTAAAAGCACGTCGTCGTAGCTGCGTTCCCACTCGTAAATGTGATCAGTCAAAACACGCTGGCTTGTAATCACCCCGGGGAGCCCCTAAATCAATCTGACATTTCAAGTTAGGCCACGGGTGAACCGGGGGGGCGCGGAACGACGACCACTAGCGGCAGAAACGTGAACTACAGCGAGCGGCGGCGAGACAGGGGAGCGGTCGGTCTCATGGATACCGGGCTGAAGGAGGAGGTGGGTGGGTGGGTAAAAGTGTTTCAAGTTCAGCAGGCACGATAAAAAGTAATTTGGATGTGTTTATTTTTTGACTTGTAAAGAAAAATGAAATAAACAATAATATAACTGGGTCGCAGAACAAAAAAAAAAAAAAAGGGGGGGGGGGTAAAGACCATTTCTTCGATAAAAACAGTGAGCGTTTCCAAATATTCTCAAATTTTTCTGTTTCGAATCTTAAAATATAAGTAAATTTGTCGTTTGGATTCACAAGCTACTTTTATAAACGTATTTTTAAAAGATCAGTTTGGCTCAACTCTGCATATTCTTCTCTCAAACGGAAAACACCTTGTGATGTCATGTGGTGATACAGGAAGAGCTCCGTTGTGTTTTTAAACTCCGTACACCTTCACGAGAATCACTTGGATGATTTCAGGCCAAGGAATTGCCAAACTCCACTTAACTAAAAGGTCAAAAGTAGCTTTTAACTTGAAAACTACCGCTTCGTGACATCACAAAGTGGAACAGAGCGTTTTGAGCTTTGGAGATGTAGACAGACTAATAATAAAGAGTTACAAAAACATGTGTGAATGAAACAAAACACAACTCCAGGTTTGTTTTTGAGAAGGTCACAACATTCTAACACGACTTAAAGCTCACGAGAGTCCGTTTTGCGTAATCCTTTAATACCAGGTCAGGCCACATCATCAAGTTACTGGTCAGATCTGTGGAGAAGAGAACCCGCTCACAGAAATGTTGCACATTTTTGCAGTAGTTTGTAATTTAAGTTGTAACTGAATAAGTAGACAACAAGATATATTGGAGAACATCTCAGGCAAACCAATAAGATCGTCATGCAGATGGCAGAACCTTCACCAGAAAAGTTACACAATGCACCTTTAAAATGATCTTAAAATACACATTATAGGCATTTGGATTTGTTTGACTGAGTCTGCTTGAGACTGACAGACTGATGAAGTTAAAAATATGTGAATGTAGGCTGTGCTTAAAACTTCTATTCAGACTGTTCGAAGTGTCAGTGTTCAGAAAATATTGCTATTGTCCCTTAACTTAAATATCTTATATTATGAAAAACTGACTCTTGTGAGCTTTAAGTCATGTTATAATGTTGTTACTTCCTCAAAAACAAACCTGGAGTTGTGCTTTGTTTCATTCACACGTTTTTGTAATCCTTTATTATTAGTTTGTCTACTTTTTTTTTTTTTTTTTTTTTCTTACCTTTGGTTAAATAGAGATTGTCAATTCCGGAGCTGAAATCATCCATATTAGTAACAGTCTCAGGCTGTGGAAAAGTCTGTATCAGTCTTTAGCAACTTGCTTTTGATTTGTATTTTATATAATAATACAGACTTTTCCACAGCCTGAAATCATTTATTTTCACTAGTTTGTGGAGTTTGCCGCCGTTAGCCGAGTGGAAATTACATCATATAATGAAATTCAAACGTTTCGTATAATTTTCTGCCTGTTTTGAGGCTGTTTAACACTTTGAGGGGTTGGATGTCGTCATCGGCTGAAAATAAAACTGCTAATATCTTCAGAACCATAATCGCACAAATTAAACTTTTTGCAGCACAAAACGAATCACAAAGAAATGACAAAATGTCGGGCCTTTTTACAGCATTTTTAAGCTTCCTGTGGAGCTGGCTGACCCCAGTTTGACCTATAAAAGAATTATTAATATCTCAAAAACTAAATGGCACAAACAAAACTTTTGCAACAGAAAACAGCACAAACGAAACACAAACAAATGAAAAAAAATTGGGCAGTTTTAGAACATTTTAAGCTTCCTGTGGGGCTTGCTGACCCTAATTTGACCTATGAAAGAATCGTTAATATCTCCAAAACTAAAACAGCACAAACAACACAAGAAAGCACAGACGAAGCACAAAATATTTACACATTTTTTACATCATTTTAGAGCATTTTAAGCTTTCTGGGAGGCTGGCTGACCCTAATTTGACATATGAAAGAATCGTTAATTTCTCAAAAAATAAAACGGCACAAACAAAACTTTTCACAACAGAAAACAGCACAAACGAATCACAAATAGATGACACAATTTTGGTCCATTTTAGAACATTTTAAGCTTCCTGGGGGCTGGCTGACCTAATTTGACCTATGAAAGAATCGTTAATATTTCAAAATTTTCAAAATAAAACAGCACAAACGAAGCACAAAGGACTGACATAGTTTTTGTGTAGGTTTGCATTTGACGGGGCTCAACTTCACAGAGGTTTATTTGACGCTTGCGACCTTTTTGAATTTATTATTACATTTATATTTTTTCTCTTTCTGATTATATTTTATTGTGATGTGTGAGCTACTGTGCCCAAATAATTTCCCTGCTGGATCGATAAAGTTTGTCTAAGTCTAACCCTAACCCTAAACCAATCAGACTGGGGCTCGTCCGTAACGCTGCGCTCTGATTGGCTGAGGCGCCGGGGCAAAGAATGCGTCGGGCCTTACGCACCAACCACAAAATTAAAGCGACTTTTGCTGCTTTTTCGCTGGTTCGGAGGGAGAGGGAGAGCGACGCGAGGATCTGCTGAAAAGGTACGAGTCGCGCTGCATCTTGGGTACACAACATTAACTCCGCGGTGATGCAGTGCGCCCGCGGCGTGCGGACCGAACACCGAAGTTAAGTCTGACGGGATCGTCTCGGGAGCTTCTCGATTTCTCATCCAACTTCCAATTTTTTTTTTTTTTTTTGCAAACGCGTCCGACCCGAGCCTCGCCGTGCGCCATGAGCCAACTTCTCCGGAGCGGACCGTGGCGCTTGTGATCCCCGCCGAAGCACCAGCCCTCCTCGCCGGGGGAACAGAGAGCGAGCATGACGGAGCCCCTCGCCCCGCTGCCTTTCGTCGGCTTCACTGGGAAATGGTAGCGCGCACCGGGAAGCAGGGACCATGGTCGAGAGGAGCAGCAAATTCTTATTGGTCGTGGTCGGATCGGTTTGTTTTATGCTGATTCTTTACCAGTACGTGGCCCCGGGGGTGATCAGTTTCGGCTCCCCGCACGGGTACTTCACGGAGGGCGACGAGGTGGACATCTTCCCTACCCCGGACCCGCACTATGTTAAGAAATACTACTTCCCCGTGCGAGATTTGGAGCGGACTATCGATTTCCAAATGAAAGGAGAGGACGTTATAGTGTTCCTTCACATCCAGAAAACCGGGGGGACTACGTTCGGGAGGCACCTGGTCCAGAACGTGCGTCTGGAGGTGCCGTGCGACTGCAGACCCGGGCAGAAGAAGTGTACGTGTTACCGGCCGAACCGTAAGGAGACCTGGTTGTTCTCGCGCTTTTCCACCGGCTGGAGCTGCGGGCTGCACGCCGACTGGACCGAGCTCACCAACTGCGTGCCCGGCGTGCTCAACAAGAAGGAGAGCAAGAGCAAGAGCCCGAGGTGAGTGCACGGAGAAGGAGAATGAGAAGGAGGAGATCGAGGTGCATGCGTTTTTGGGGAAGGGGCATGCGTTTTTGGAGATGTTTGGGGTTGTGCCGTGCCAAGCGTAAAGAAGATGCCACTGTGAACTTGGGCACTGATTGTGAAAGCGGTTCTTTGCGGTGTTTTGTGGGGACTTCCAGGCCCTTGTTGACAAAATATCCACCTCTTGAATATTAGGTTTTTATTTGATGGATAAAAACTAAAACGTAGAACCAAATCAGTCAAAAAAAAAAAAAAAAAAAACTCACCTTGCCTTGATTGTAAGAGCGTTTTGGTTTTTTGTTTCGTTTTTTGTTTGTTTTGCAAGACTGTGGGAACTTCCAGGACCTTGTTGACAAAATGCCTACTTTGAAAATTAGTTTTTTATTAGCTGGATATAAATTAAAACGTGTATTGAAATCAAATTAATTAATCAGACTCATCTCGGTTGTAAGAGCGTTTTTTGTTTGTTTGTTTTGCGATGCTGTGAGAACTTCCAGGACCTTGCTGACAAAATAGCTGCTTTGAATCGTACGTTTTTATGAGATGGATAAAAACTAAAGTGTGTAATTGATTAAAAAGAATGAATTTGAAGGTAACAAACGTAAACTCACCTTAATTGCAACATCGTTTTTTTTTTTTTTTTGCAATGAATGCTGTGGGAACTTCCAGGACCTTGTTGACAAAATAGCTGCTTTGAATTGTAGGTTGTTGTTTTTTTTTTAGATCGATTTAAAAACTAAATGGTGTGAACAAATCAAATCAATCAAAAGAACTCGCCTTACCTTGATTGTATGAGCGATTTTGTTTGTTTTGCAATGCTGTGGGAACTTCCAGGACCTTGCAGACAAAATACCTACTTTGAATATTAAGTTTTTATTAAATGGATAAAAATGAAAACATGGAATCAAATCAAATTAATCAATCAATCAATCATACTCACCTTGAGCATAAGAGAGTTTTGTTTTTTTTTTTTTGCTGTGCTGTGGGGACTTCCAGGACCTTGCTACGAAAATCCCCAATCCTACTTTGATCTGTAGATGGATTAAACTCCCCCAAAAAACGAAAATAATATAATTTTAACAATGGATTTGAGTAACAAGCCTGGACTTTCACCTTCACGCTCGGTGTTTAAAGCTTCACTGTGTAACTTTTGTGGTTTTCGGTCTGATCTGCCACTTGCGTTTTTCCGTGGAGATTGTTTTTGCTTCGCTTGGCTGAAATGTTCCACGGTTTATGCACAAAAGTTGTTTATTTCCATGGCGACTAGCAGATTGTCCCACTATACCAAGTTACAAGTCAGATCTGTTGAGAAGCAAGCTGTCTTATAGTAACAACGCACGTTTTTAAGGTGTTTTTGAGCTATAAAAACATCTGTATTTGAAAGAATTTGTGATAAAGAAGATAAATGTCATATTGTGGATCATTCCAGGCAAAAAAAAATTCTTTAAAAGTCTTTATGCAGACCAGAAAAGTTCCCTAGTGCATCTTTAACAACTGATTTTAACTTCTAGGACAGCTCCAATTGGCCGATTATTACACATATTTCCTAACATATAATTTACTTTAGTTTGCTCAGCTTTTTTTTCCCCTAACAGATAATTAAGTTTTACAAGTTATTCTGCTTTTTTGTTGTTGTTTTTTCCTCGAATAATTCCTACAAACTCAAAACTACGCCTCTAGTGAATAATCCCAAACCTAAAATTTTGGAGTTTCTTTAAAATTCTCAGCGGATAATTTGGATCAAAACCCACATTTCCCGTTACATCTTTCATGTCTGGTAGCATATTGTCGTAAAAGGGCTAATGTATTCAGCACTTAAATAATTCATTGTCTGCAGCAGGTTAATTTCAGCATCAGTTGAGTTGCCGACAGGGGCAGACAGGAGCTGGCAGGAGCAAAACACACACACAGGCAGATTGTGGGTACGACTGCACCGGAGCATAGGAATGTGCTCATTAACGCTTTATAATAACTAGTCTTTAAATAGCCACAATAAAGTGCAAATGGAAACATAATGACACCAGCTCATGACATCACAAGGTGGAACAGAGCGTTTTGAGCTTTGGGGATGTAGACAGACTCATAATAAAGGATTACTCAGACGTGTGAATGAAACAAAACGCAACTCCAGACATGTTTTTGCGGAGGTAACAACATTAGAACACGATTTAAAGAGTAAATTTTGCTTGATATAGGAGTTTTTTTTTTAACATCGAGGTTCACAAAAGTACAAATGCTGTTTATTTATTTATTTTATTGGATCATTTGCGGCAAAAAACAACTAAACAGAACATAAACCACGACTACATGGGTCACGACAGGAAGAGTCCGAGCTGAAACAAAAAGCTAACAAACGCACGCACAACAAATTTGTACAAATACTTTAGTACTTTCCCTGCCAGATTTCAGAACTTTTCTTAATTTTGTTTTTCAATTTGCACGTGGCATTCCAGTCCGAGCTCTAAATGAATTACTATGACGTCACCTGCACGAGTTTAAAACATACTTCTGAACATTCTCCGTGAAGTTGGTTACGTTTAATGCCGTTCCACGTGTCACGTTTGGGCACTTTTTGGCTTTCCCCAGTTTTTTTTTTTTTTTTTTTCATTTCTGCCTAGTTTTGGTTTTGTAAGTTGGTTACGTTTTTGAAGATTTTAGCCGAAGAAACCCAACGTTGCCATGGAAACGAGCATTAGGGGGCCAAGTAAGGCTACGTTCAGACTGCAGGGCTTAGCGCTCGATTCCGATTTTGTTGTGAAATCCGATGTTTTTGCGAGGTCGTTCACATTTCCAATTAAATGCGACTTGTATGTGACTCCAGTGTGAACATTAAACGGCCAGAAAGTGTCCCGCATGTGCACTGGAGACACGATGACGTCAACCTCAGCGAGCGTCTCTGTGTTTACGGAAGTTGTCCAAACATGGACGCAGCATTGAGCACCTGGAGATTTTAAAGTTCCTCTCGTACCGGAGCCAGAACATGAACAACTTACTTGTTTTAAGGAGGAGATTGAGAAGGAGAAGGACGAGGTTTTTGGCCGTGGTGTTTCGTGGGACAGCGGCAGCAGCGTCGGTTGAAAGGAACGTGTGGATGTTGAGACGCAGCCAAGAGTGGTGAGTGGTGATGTGCTTCACTTCAGTGACACGGAGTTCATTAACAAATTTCACCGACCAGCGCAGAATAGTGACGTTTGTGGCTTGTTGATAACGTGTATTTCGGACGAATGCGCTTTGGCCATTCAGACTGAAGTCGCATGTCAAAAGATCGGATATGTATCGATTTTAGGAGCACATATCCAAGTGGCCTGGGTCGCATTTGAAAAAATCGGATCTGTGTCATTCAAACTGTCATTAAAAGATCAGATACAGGTCACATAGGGGCCAAAAAATCGGATTTGGGTCACTTCATGCTGAGGTCTGAACATAGCCTAAGAGTGAGGTTTGCGGAGATGCAAGCTTGCTCACACTGAGAATGCATTTATTTATTTATTTTTATTTATTTTTTTCAGTGTGATTAAAACAGCCAAAGTTTTTGTTCTTGTTTTAATCTTAGTAAATTTAAGTTTATGTTCGGTTGGTTTTGCAGTTCTCTAGTTCACAGGTTCGATTCTCAGATAGGCGGCTCTTTGCTGCGTAGAGTTGGCGCGTCTTCTCAGTGTATGAATAATTGGAGGGTTTTATTGCAGACAGTCTTAATGTTTTCACTGCATTGTCCAAATTGAATTCCGCGTTCTCGTCTCGGGCCCTTGTCTAATAGCATTTGCGACGCTTGCTCTTAAGGGCTTTCAGTGTTAAGAAGTATGAAAAGTAGTGTTTTTGCAGAGTTAAGATTTGCAGTACTTTTTAAAATTTCCCTCGGGTATAACGTAAACCCTTCCATTTTCAGACAAGTTACTCCTCTCCAATTTTAACACAGGAAAACAAGATTATAAATTTAAAGGTACTGTCTTACAAAAAAAGACTCTTCTGTGATTTAAGCCATGTTACCTCATCGAAAACAGACCTGGAGTTACGTTTTGTTTCATTCACACATGTTTGAGTTTGAGCTTTTATTATTAGTCTTTCTGCAAAACTCAAACTCAAAATGTTCAGTTTAGGGCTTCTCGATTATGGGAAAAATCATTACTCACGATTATTTTGGTCAATATTGAAATCACGATTATTCTAACGATTATTTTTTAGGTACATGTTTCATTTATTCAGCATTTCTCTCTCAAAAAAACACCATGATATTGATAATTTACACAAATCTTTCTATATTTGTAGGGCTGAACGATTTTAAGAAAAAACTGAATTACGATTTTTCTGGCAGATATTGCAATTTCGATTTCAGTTTTGGTGCACGTGAACATTTGCAAACATCACAGAAACTTGCGTCACACCAGAGTCCTGCACTGATGATTTGACGCTGAACCGTTTGCGCACATTTGTTTACGTTTTACAGAAATGAAACTTAAAACCACATGGCTCATTTGCATAAACTATAAGCGCTGAAAAAAAACAGTTCGCTCCTTGTGCTGCTGATGTGGTTCAGCTTCTGTCGGACTAAAGGACACGACTCGGTGGAATATGAGCGTTCTTTCTGTGACAGAGGATGTGCTGCTGATGGTGAGTCTGTTCTGTGCTTCTGTTGCGTTGGGGATGATTCGAGTTAAACTTTACACGAACACCAGGTTTAAATCCTTGTCTTGTGGCGGTGAATTACTTTGCGGCGCATAGACCTCGACGCAGACCCGTAAATCAAAAATTACGGCAACACGGCAACAGTGTGTGTTGAGTCGACACAGAATTAAACTTGGGCTTTAGAAGCGCTGCAAAAAAACACGGCTCCCAAAATCATGTTGTCTGAGATTGCGATTTTCGGTCCAAAACAATAGATCGTTCAGCCCCAAATATAGGCTACAAATCTGTACTTTAGAGCAGTTTTGCGATGTATAAAACATAAAATTAATAAAAAATATACTTTGAAAATGAAA